ATCAAGGCGAATTGTCTTAATGGGATAATCTGGAAATTACACTCTTAATCGTATCATTTGTGCCAATTATTTTGCAAATGCCATGTTGCGAGATGAAAAGAGGCACACATGAGACCATCTTAAAGATGCGTCTATTAGGACCATAAAATATCTGAACGACCCACTAGATGGGTGAATAGGTCCACAAATATCCCCATGTATTCGTTCTAAAAATTGAGGGGATTCAATGTGAACCTTCATTGGTGATGGCCTAGTAATCAATTTGCCTTGGCAACAAGCAGCACAGGAAAACTCATCATTTGTAAGAATCTTCAGGTTCTTTAATGGATGTCCATTTGAGTTTTCAATGATTCGTCTCATTATTATTGATCCAGGATGACCTATTTGGTCATGCCAAAGCACAAAAGTCTTTTAAGTCAGTAAACTTCTGGTTTACGATAGAGTGTGCTTCAATTGTACTTATTTTTACATAATACAGGCCAGAAGATAAAGTTGATAATTTCTCCAACACATATTTCTGGTCTGAGACAATCTTGGTAATACCAACGTATTCAACATTCATTTCATTTATTGTCTCAACATGATATCCATTTCGGCGAATATCTTTAAAACTTAACAGGTTTCTTGGGAATTTAGAAGAGAATAAATCATCTTCTATGACGAGTTTTGTCCCCTTAGACATAAATATAGTATCTCTTCCAGAGCCTTCTATTAAGTTTGAATTACTAGAAATCGTAGTAACATTTGTTGTTATTCTAAGCAAGTAGGAGAAGTTTTTCTCATCTTTGAATATGGCGTGCGTTGTTCCACTATCAATTACACAAATATCTTCATGATTGATCATTGAGATATCCATAACTCTTCAAGATAAAAGATATAAACGAAATAAATATTATAATATTATTACTAAACAAAAACATTACACAACCTGTAAGTTATTTAAAAGTTTAGAAAAACATATTCATACTAGATCATATAAACGACAAAAATAAAATATATTTACATTATCACAGGTCCATCACCTATCAGGTAATCTATCTTTCCTTTGGGATTCTCAAAGAAATCCGCTACATCTAGATGCATGGGTTCAACAGTATCTTTCGAGATAAAGTTGGCTTCTGCGTTATTTTTCACTCCTTCAAGGAAGCTTGATATAGCTCAAACCAGGTGCCTTGGCGTACGACAACTACGTGATCCTTTTCCTCCACATCGATAACATTTGTTGTCTGAACTTTTCTTCTGCACTATATCATGTTTTTTCGTTCTTCTTTTTATACTGCTGGTGTTGAAGGTTATTATTTAGTGCAATACGATCACCATGATTGAAATTTCTTCCTCGACCACGACCACGGTCACGACTGGGGCCACGACCTTTTTCACGCCTACATTGGTGAAAGTTTGCCGTATTTACTTCAGGAAATGGCATAAAACCAGTAGTTCGACTTTCATGGTTTTTTCATCAGTAAGTCATTATGTTGTTCAACAACAAGGAGATGTGAAATTAATTCAGAATATTTTTTAAATCCCATTTCTCGGTATTGTTGCTGCAAAAGCATACTCGAGGCAGGGAAAGTGGAAAACGTTTTCTCCAGCATATCATGGTCAGTGATATTTTCTCCACATAATTTTAATTGTGAGATAGTTTTAAACATGGAAGAGTTGTACTCACTGATATATTTAAAATCTTAAAATCTCAAGTGGATCCAGTCATAACGTGCCTATAGAAAGACGACCAACTTCAGGTGGTCATATCTATCTTTTAAATTGTTCCAAAACACCAGAGGATCCTTAACAGTGAGATATTCCATTTTCAAAACTTCATCATGGTGATGAGGGAGAAATATCATCGCCTTAGCACGGTTTTGATTCGATGCTTGATTATTTTCTTGGATGGTGTCTTCTAGACCCATTGCATCAAGATAAATTTTTGCATCGAGAATCCATGATAGATAGCTTTTTCCCGATATGTCTACAGCAAGAATTTCAAGTTTAGAGATATTAGACATTATTAAGAAAAGAAAATTTATACCTCCGAGGTTTTTAAAGTCTTTACTTGAACTGGCAGAGACTCGTGCTGATAACGTGTTATAAAAGAACTTACTAAGATTAATATACTAAAAGAAAGAAAATTGAGGAAGTAATAATATTTCAAAAATGTATATACGTATCTATATGTACAATGGTTATTTATAGCCATGAGTTTAATACACATATGTATAACCTGACCTATTTATTGGCCAAGTGATTATATTCTACTAATGGGAGAGTTCCACATGGTATGCATAATTGATTTGCATACCATTTACAAGTGATGCAATACTTTTAAAGGTTGGAGGCCACGTGGCACCAAAAATACTTTACAACACATGGTTACTTTATATTACAATATTTCATTTATTTAAGACAACGTAATCCATATAGCAATCACTACTTACAAATAATGATAGTTAAAAGAAAAACTGGAAAATTACAATAAGTTCTTTAGAGAGAATACCTATAGATTCACTAACATATCAATGATGCTCAATTGCATATATAGATACGTGGTAATTTAATATGAAATACAAAAAATAATTTTATAATATATACATTGAAGTGTATTAAATTTTGCTTCTTTCTACACATGTTTCAAAGGCAAAGGCTGTGAAGAAATAAGCTACACTTGGTCCAAGCCTATTATCATAGAGTTGTTTGCTGTGAAAATTGTTGAATTTCCTATTTTGTTGTGTGTTTGTCTCCATCTTTGTGGTGCAAGTTCATATCAAGATGGACTGAAATTTAAAACATCAAGCATATTATTTGAATCGAATACATACAAATATAAACGATATAAGGTGTTACGTTAACTGATGTAGCTCCAGAGATATATGCATTGTCTTTCGATAATGTATATTAGAACTCCAGAAAAATCAAAGATAAATTTTCTGTTAGAAATTAAAAAATGAGCAAGCCACATAACTCAAATGCACACAGTTAGGGAAGTACATATCAGAGGAGCATCAGTTATTTCTATAGTTCAGAAGACCGTTATAAGATATTGTCTAAAGAGCATCTGGCCAGTTACCATCTCTAGGTTTTTTTTTGGTATGATTTATTTCCTCTTGACATGATTCTCTTTCCAATGTAACATTGCTTTTGTTAATGCGAGATTATGCTCGTTGAACTGATAAGATTGGTGTGGTTTCTAGTGTCTTTAGCTGCTGTAGAATATATGTTTCAGGATGAGCATAGCGAGGTGTCTTTCGAATTGTGTAATCTGTTTCGTTTTTCTTGAAACTTTTTTAGCGCGCGAAGTGTTGCTTGGTATTGACTTGTGCCTCTGTTGATCAAAATCTTAAATGGATGCACCTTCATTATTTTAATCACAAAATTGGGTCATATGTCTGCCACTTTCAAGGGACGCGATAAGCATGTCAGCACTCAGATAGATTTGGATAAAATTATGTTTGTTCATTTACTAATTGTCATCGTACCTGGCATCCCTGATTTTCGATTGATCTACGGTACATTGATGGTTCACTTAATTATTTGAGTCGTGATTTTAATTTTTATTTATTTTTTTATTTTTCATGTAAAACCTGTGGGTGTTCATCGCGAATTCACTCCCTCGCATTTCAAGAGAGCCGTAAAGGCTCAACTCTTCTTTTCGAGTCTCCCACCTGAAAATTGATGTACAAGCCGTCAAATTGAAGAATATGGAGTCAATTGAAGAGTTGAAAAATTGGGTCATTAGGACCCAGGCTTTATCTTTTTTCCTTAAAATTTGTATTTTGTTGTTGTTGGGCCTAAACCCACTTAATTATTTACTTATTGTATTTTTAATTTATGACAGGTACAGGTGAAGTGGGCCAAGAGCCCAAAACAAAAAATGGTTCAAAAAGCCCAAAATAGGTGGATCCAAAATTCAGATCAAGATGAACAGAACTCGGATTTGAACTCAAATTTCTCTCTCTTCCTCTTACCTTATCATCTTTGTGTTTGCGTTTATTTGTAGTTAGCTTAAAGTTAGAAAAAACTCTAAATCCCCGTCGAAGGTCATACTGTTTTATTAACTTAAAACTGAACCAAGTCTTGAAAATAATAATATTTTAAATTTATAATTTTCGCTTAGATAAAAATTAAGATCACTTTCAAACAATTTTCAATCAAGTTAAGCTAAGTAGTTGGTTGTTGGATAACCGTATGTTAACGGACATCTTAGGTGCTTTTCAAAACCTTCCTAAGACGTTAATAGGAATCCCCGAACCCTTTTAAATGTTTTCAAAATGGTTTTTCTGTTAAGTGTTTTGAAAACAACATTTTTCTTAAAAATTAAGTGGCGAGTCTAAAAATATCTAAGACTTATACAAAATTATATTTTTCGTATAAAAAAAGAAAAATTCGTTTCGCTGTGGAGAGAAGGGGGATTTTTTTGGGAAATTTTTTTTCTGTTCTTTGAATTTGCTTTACATTGAAACAGGGTTTTTTTTTTTGAAAGAGGGAATTTGAGAGGAAATTTTTTTTCTTAAGTCGAAGAAATTTTGAAAGAAAGTCAGCTCGCTTAGGGTCGAGTTTTTTTTTCACCCATCACTGGTCTGTTGACTGAGTTTGGATTTGTGTTTGTGCTTGCGTGGTGACAGTTGTCCCCATCTCCAAACTCGTGCTGTCCTGGAGTCGCTGCACTTAGAAAGGTAATATCTTATCTTTCGCAATAGTATTTCATCTCTTTTTCTATGTGTGATTGCTGGCTGTTGGTTGCTACTAAATGAGTGATGATGTGTATATTCTTTAGTCATTTCAGAGTATAACACCGAGTTTAAGATTTAAATATTTGTTGGCATCTATTTTGCACTTGAAGTTCCCTGTATGCTCCTTGAGTTTATTTTTGGCATGTCATCTGGTTCATTTTACAGCTTGGTATTCACTATGTCCTTCTTTCCTTCACAGTAATTGAAAGAATAAAATTAATGCTTCAATTTTCCGAGTTCGCGTGTACATTTGCTCTTGTTTTTGAGTTCATGCGTCTCATTTTCGCTACCCGTTTCAAACTATCCTTTTGGTTGTTTTATAGAGTCGTTATCAAGGTCTAGTCTTTATTTTCAGTCTCCAAAAGCAGCATGTTAGTTTATCATGTCCTAAAGTTTATTTGCTTAGATTCAGTCCAACAATCGGGATGACAACAAGTTAGTCTAAGTTCTGTTACCTTTTTTTTTCCTTCTATTTTGATTTTAGTTTGGTTTCATTTATATAAGTCGCTTGCCGTAGTGGCGTTTCCTTGTGTTGATTTCGTGGTGATTTGATCTCCCTATGGTTATCTCTGCCTAGCGTATCTTGCCCTGTTTATGTTGGTATCTCCGCTTTGAATAAAATTCTAGTCGAAACAAATTTACTTATTTTATGGTTCAAGTGCAACCATCTCAGCATGTTTCTTAGTCTATGTCTTTTTGAATAATCTTTCTGAATTTATTTGGCACTCACTTCGTGTGGTTATAAGAAAATGGCAAAAGTATTTAAAATAATGCAAAATTTATATTTTTAGCAAAATTTATAAAATTAATTATTTTAAATTATTTCAAAAATTTAAGAGTCGAGAACTAATTTATATCGAGGAGGATTGAAATTGGGTGTCAACAGATATTACTACCGATTCTTAAACATAAATAACACAAACAAATATGTTGTATTTTCTAGGTCAAGTACCCTTTAAGAACCATCAATGGACCTAAGTTTAGCACCATCTCCTCTTTAGAAAAACTTATAGTTGAATTAATGTTGCTATATTATTTTGGGTTCTGAAATATCAAGGCTGACTTTGGCATAGCAACTTATGTTTCGTTAACATGAAAGTATTGCATACATGCCATCATCGTTGACCCAATATTCAGAGAGTTTTTGTTCAAAAACATTCTCAAATCATATCCGAAGAATAAATTTCATCCTCAACTATCTTTGTGAAGAAGAAACATCAGCGACATGAGAAATATATATCCAATAACTGCTCTAATGTTAAAAATTAACTATTTTGTAATCACACGTTGCACCTGAAGCCTATCAAACCATTACTACTGGAAACATACATTGCAACATGTGAACAAAATTCTGATCTCCCTCCTCTCAATTCAGCTCGGCTTGTCCTCGCTCCCTTTCCATGCTATTTCTTTTCACTAAAAAGAGCGATTGAGAATCTCGAGCCACTGCTTTTTTTCAAGAGTCCTGTTAGTTGGAACTCTTAGTAATTTTGTTTTGTCAAATCTTGTCTTTTCTCCTCTATTAGGAATTGATATATGTTTCCTTAATGGCAAAATAATAGAATCAACAACATATAACAGTAAAGCCAAGTTATAAGCTTGAATAGACATTTTCAAGCGAGGAATTTCAAAAGTAATCGCCAATGCGAGCAAATAAGCAATAGGCATTTCACAACTAAATATAATAGGTCATTCATACATTTTATCAAACAGGTAATACACATTTCATAGCATCTTCGAAAGAAGGATATGTTAAATCAAATTACTCATTTCGGCATAAAGATTTGTTATACTTTGTCAATAAAGAATAACAATAGCATGAACACAGAATACACAATAGTGAATGAGATTGAAATAACGAGGAACATATAAGCATTGACCGGAAAATTGTAGGGAAAATGGAAAAATAACATTGTTGTTGGACAGTGATTTAACTTCAACATTCAACTACTCTAGGTACAAAGTTGAAACTTTTATCAGTCATAGAACTAAAATCTAAAGCAAATGTAGAAATTGGAGAAAACAAATTAAAGCTCAGAAGAAAAACACATAACAGATGAAAAATTAAGAAATTAAAATCTAAATAAATTGAAGAGGAAAATAGAGAGATAATAAATAATGGCAAAAGGGTATAATATACGTGGCTCATATATGGTCTTACCGTTATACAAACGGCTCACATATAACTCTACCGTTATAAAATGGCTCACATATATTTTTATTTAACGGAAGTTAAAAAATTAGTTTTAAATTTACTTCTAATTTTTTTTAAAAAATTATTTAGAGGTATATATGATTCTTCTATCAAAGTTCAAAGTATATTTTAATTTAATTCATACATAAATTATTTTTTGACTTCTTTTATTATAATTATTTGAGTTTCTTATTCTTATTTTAATTTTTTCTTTCATTCCTTAGTTTAAAGAAAAAAAATTTAAACTATTATTTTTATGTGTATTGTAATCTAATTTCGTATTCGAAGAAAAAATTTGGTAATCTACAATAAGTTTTACAAGAATATTAGTGAAACATAAATAAATTTGATTATCAAAATAATAATTATAAATTAGTCATTGAAATAAAAAAAAAGTCAAAAAAATATGTTTGACGAGGATTAAATTTAATCATATGATATTATATTTTTTAGAGAAAAAAATAAAAATTTTGATTAAAATTATTTTTTTTCATTTCCGTTAGAGGAAAAGGATATATGTGAGCCATTTGTTTACAAGTAGGGGAATATATGAGTCACTTTCATACCAAGGGATATAACAGCTCTAAATGACAAAGTTAAGGGGTATATCAGACCCTTTTTCCATAAATAATTACCTCAAAGTTGTGCGGTACTTGATTAAAACTGAAGAAGAAAAGGCAATACTTAGAGAAGATTCAGAGAGGGAAACATTTTACTCAAGAAACAATATAAATCTGTAGTTCTGCTGCAAGGAAGAGTTGACTCAAAAGAGAACACCCATTAAAATCTTATTACATACAATCTTATTGTAATTTGAACGAAGAAAGATTAGACCAAATTCAACATTTTAGGAAGGGATAAAGTGGAGAATTTATTCACCATAGATGAAAAGCAAAAACTAATGAAAACACTTTGAAAGAAAATCTGTTAAAGGATAACATAACTAGATCTCCCAATTATTTTTTAAGTAGCCACCAAGTCGACAACCACAATGAAGAGAAAATTTTACAAGATTTCCCCTATTAATTAATATTTAATATTAGATCATGAAGTAGTTAGTTGTTAGGGTAAAACATTAAAAGCTTAAAAAATCATGCAGGACCATTAAAAATAATCTATGACAAGTGTTATTGATTTATGTATGATTTTTAAAATTAGAGATAACAAAAAATACACTCATACTCTATCTAGTCATATTATGTGAATGATTGAGACTTTTTTCATAGTCTAAAATAAAATGATTGTTCATAGCACAAGAAAATTTTTGGTACTTAAATTCATTTAATTATGAAGATCAAAAGGGCAATAGTGGATATATAGTAGCATCTAATTAATACTTTTCTTAATTAATCATGTGCTGACACTTAATATGTACAGGAAAGAGTATTTTCGAGTGAAATTATGGATATTTTTCAGTTTATCTAGACAATATATGAATTACTTTCATTATTAAGTAGTACTTTCCTTATGAATTCAATATGGAGAAAAAAATTTACTCATTTTTTTAGTTGAAATATATTGAAAATGCTTCATGTAGTTTTATTGTATTATAAAAGTAATAAAGAAGTTAAAATAAAAAAATTCGGTGTTGGGGAGGGGGGCAGATAGGGGGACGATGGCAGGGGGCCTAGGATAGGGTAAAAAAATAAACTTTTGAAGTTGAAAATATTTTTTAAAAATAAACTTAATATTTTTTTTTGGGGGGTAGGGGGGGGGGGAGAGGGGGAGTCTGATGGTGGTGGGGGCGATAGTAGGGATGAAAAAAATTAAATTTTGAAGTTGAAAACATTTTTTAAAAACAAACTTAATTTTTTTTGGTGTGTGTGTGTGTGAGGGGCTGGTAAGGGGTGGGTGGGTGGGTGGGGGTCAAGCGTAGGGGTGGAAAAAAAATGATATTTTGAAGTTTAAAATATTTTTTAAAAATAAACTTATTTTTTAGGGTGGCGTGGGGGGTCGAGGGTTGAAACATTAATAGGGATCCATGTATGAAAGTTTTAAAACGTTCTTCTAAAACTTCGAAACAAACAGTTTTCTGAAAATATGGAGAAAACTTGCAATACTCATATATGACCCGTAATTTATCAATAAAATATCCATATTTTAATGGGTAAATATTGATATAAGCCCAAATATTATCCATATTTAAATCACTCTTTCAATCTATATTTAATAAGCTATTTGAGCGGGCTTAAGTTGCCAACACTAACTGCACCTAATGGTTATAACATATTACTTCCTCATTATTTACTTTACTTTTTTTGTTCATTTAAAATATAATATAATATTTTTTTGATAATTCTTTTTACTCAACCTTTTTTCCCATAACGTATTTAAATTTTAAATATTATATAAATATTAAATGAATGATTGAGACTTTTTTCATAGTCCAACATAAATAGATTATTCGTAGCACAAGAAAATTGGTGGTGCTTTTTTCATTTTTACCATTCATTTATCATAGGTTCTTAACTATTTTATGAAGCCGTTTGACCATACATTTTCCAAGTAAAATTTGGAGAAGAAATTGTCAAATTGTGTTTGTCCATATAATTTGTCATTATTTCGGAAAGATTTTCGTCAAATAACTCAAATTTTGAAATACTAGAAAAAATCAATATTTTGGTCAAATCTCATTATTTGAGAGCTTTTAAAATTTCAAATTCTACATCAATCTTTTATCTTTTACAAAAATGTCCTCTATAGTAGTTGTTTGCGTTGTATTACATAATTTTTTTTATGTGAACATCAAAGGAATGATGGAAGTTCAGTGAATATGAAAGCGATAATCTTGTTGTTAATGAAAATGACGAACAATCGACTCAAATTAATAAAGTCAGATGCTTTGTCTACTTCACGATGTATGAAAATGTTTTGTAGTGCTCACTCTAACTATCACATTACTGCAATGTCATGTACGTTGTAATTTTTTGAAACAAAGATCTGATTGACTCATTGCGGAAGTCATGAATCTTGTTGCGTCGATTATCTTGCTATGTTAATAAAAACATATGATTAGTTTTGATAGGTTTTCATACTTATGAGTATAAATTATATTTCTTAAAAAAGTAAAATATGTTTCCCCAATATTATAGTCAAACATATAGTGAAATTTCACCCAAATAATATTTGCTAAAATAATTTGAAAATATTTGATCAAATGCTAGTTATATTTATGAGAAAATATTTTGGTAATGATAGAAAGGATAATCGTAGATAGTAACATTTAATTGAGTCCGGAGCCTAAAGGGCATAAAATATTAACAAAAATTTCAAAATGGTATATAAAATTTTATATTAACCAAAACAGCAAAATCGCTGGAACAACAACGATTTACTCCACCGGAAAAAGCAAAATCGCTGCTACTGCAGCGATTTTGCAAAATGAGTTTTTCTTTTTTTTAAAAAAATATTTCAATCGCTACCTAGGCAGCGATTTTCAATTTTGTTTAAAATTTTTATTTTTTTGAAATCGCTGCTATTTTTTTTAAAAAAAATCGTTGCGATTTCAATTTTTTTTATTTTTTTTTTTGAAAAAAAATGTAAATCGCAGCCAAAGGCAGCGATTTTCAAACCAATTTTTTTTTTTAAAAAAATGCAAATCGCTGCCTAGGTAGCGATTTTCTAAATAAAAAAAATCGTTGCCTAGGTAGCGATTTTCTAAAAAAAATTGTAAATTGTTGCCAAAGGCTTTCAAACCAATTTTTTTTTTAAAAAAAGTTTATTTATTTTAAAATTGAAAATCACTTCCTAGACAGCGATTTTCTTTTAAAAAAAATTAAAATGGAATCGCTGCCTAGGAAGCGATTTTCTAAAAAAACATTTTTTAAAAATAAATATTTGAAAATCGCTGCCAAGATAGCAATTTTATTTTTTTAAAAAAAAAATCACATGTTGCAAAATCGTTGCAGTAGCAGCGATTTTGCTTTTTTTCATGTAGTAAATCGTTGTTGTTCCAGCGATTTTGCTGTTTTGGTTGATATAAAATTTTATATACCGTTTTAAAATTTTTGTTAATATTTTATACCCTTTAGGCTCCGAACTCAAATTTAATTGATGTCCTTAAATATTATTTTTAATTAGTCATGTGTTGTACAGTTCATACATACTAGTAGGGGTATTTTCTAGTGAAATTATGGATATTTTTCAATATATCTACACAATATATGAAATATTATCATAATAAGTTACTTATCTCAAAGAAGTACTCTCAACAACGAAAGAAGAACAGAAAATAAAACCCCAATTAAAGAGGTTCATTTAATTTATGATGGAAATGAGGAATGACAGTTTTTCTATATAACATATAAAAGTACTTTATTAGTAGTGTGGACGCTTGTTGAAATTTAGGTCAATTTCATATATTAAGGGAACATTTCAATAACAGATCTTAATCTCAATAACATGTGAAAGTATTTTATTGGTGACATGACCACTTATTAGAATTTAGGCCAATTTCGTATACTAAGGGAATAGCTCAATAATAAATCTTAATCTCAATAACACATGAAAGTATTTTATAAATTTGTGGACGCTTACTGGAATTTAGGCCAATTCCGTACATTAAGGGAACACCTCCATAATAGATCTTAATACCAATAACACAGGAAAGTATTTTTATAAGTTGTGCAGACGCTTGTTAAAATTTAAGCCAATTCCATACATTAAGGGAACACTGCAATAATAGATCTTAAGCCCAATAACACATGAAAGTATTTTATTACTGATGTGGACGCTTGCTGAAATTTAGGCCAATTCCGTACATTAAGGGAATACCTTAATAATAGATCTTAATCTCAATGACACACGAAAGTATTTTACTAGTGGTGTGGACGCTTGCTAGAATTTAGGACAATTTCATACTATAAGGGAACATTTCAATAATAGATCTTAATCTCAATAAAATACGAAACCATTTTATTAGTGGCATGGATACTTGCCAGAATTTAGGTCAATTTTGTACATTAAGGGAATACCACAATAATAGATCTTAATCTCAATAACACACAAAAGTATTTTATTAGTGATATGGATGCATGCTGGGATTTAGGCCAATTCCGTACATTAAGAAAACACCTAAATAATATATCTTAATCTCAATAACACACGAAAATACTTTATTAGAGTTGTGGACACTTGCTGTAATTTAGGCCAATTTTGTACATTAAATGAACAACTCAATAATAGATCTTAATCCCATTAACGCACGAAACTATTTTATTAGTGGTGTAGACGCTTGCTTGAAGTTAGGCCAATTCCGTACATTAAGGGAACACCTCAATAATAGATCTTAATCCCAATATAGGTATAATGTTGTAGTCACTAAAACCAGCACCGGAGATGAGTTTTGCCCAATCTTGTTGATTTCTTTCCTTCCCAAAAACATGTACCATCATGAGCATGTCAAAGAAAAGTTGAGTTTCATATGACTTGTCATCTCCTTTCTCTAGGTTACGATCCATCAATACCATGTCAATGATGATCACCTTCCCACCCTTCTCCTTGCTTGGAATTGCATCTTTGCATTTCTTCAATATTTTGATGCATTCTTCGTCACTCCAACATGTAATACCCATTGCTTATTGATCATAAGTTATCAAACAAAAAAAACTTTAACACAAGTACTTTTATTTATATAGTGAAAATAAATCTTTGTATTACAAAATTACCTTTAGTAAAATTGCATCGGCATAGAGAATGAACTTAAACATATCTCCTAGCTCCCACATAGCTTATGTTCTTACTCCCTTCACAACCTTCAATTACATGTGGAAGATCAAAGACGAGGCAATTCATTTCAAGAAATGCATCCGCAATAACTTTAGCCACGATTCCTACGCCACCTCCAACATCCACAAATGATTTTAATCCTTCAAAAACACCTCTACAATTTTTAATCACCACACTTATAAGCAATCGGGAATCACTAGCCATAATTTCATTAAATTGACGGTTAATATTTGGTTCTCTTTCATCATATTCAAATAGGGGTTTGCCATGAGCAATTGCAAATGGAGTACTAGAGTCGTCATGATCACTCCTAATCCATTTGCTAAGTGAGTGCCATGGATCCATCAAATTTGGATCTAGTTCCATTTGCACAAAGGCGACTTGACTTAAAGGCTCATCTTTAAGAAGGAGAAATGAAGCTGGAGTAAGTAAATAACCCTCTTCTTTATCATTAACCTTTATTTGATTAAAGAAGCCACCATGAATTAGAATACGCATGAGACGAAAGATATAATCCAAGGTTTTAGCATTATTATTGATGGGGAGAGCATTCACCAAATCAGAGAGGGTCGTGGCCCGGCCATGAGAGTGGATATTATCTGGAATTCCAAGTTGAATAGCACATTTGAGTGACATGGAGTTGATGTAACTAAATGTATGGTTCCATATGTGTGCCTGTGCAGCCAATATTTCTCTAGTCATGTTGTCATTGGGCAATGTCATATTTGTGAGATTTTTATGAAAAGATAATATTGGATGAGGTACTGATCCAACATTATATATACTATATTAGAAGAATGAGAGGACCCACCCTCATTTAATTTAAGAAGATTTAACTGGGTAAATATAATAGATCTGCCCCCTCTATTATTCCTTCCTTCTGTTACGTCAAGTGGATCCCTAGATAAGCGATATGTGTGTTATTTAAAGTTTAAAGGTTAAAATTATACTGTATTAACAAATATCATAACCATAATTAAGACTTAAGTCAACTAATTTCAGAAAAATACTCTCTAAATTTGATAAAAATTACAATATATTTCATACAAAATTTTATATATATTAATAAAATTCATTTCATCTTATATTTTTATATTTAAATATTAAAATTATTGAACATGAATCGTTTATATTTAGTGTGAAAAATAACAATCTTCAAAAATATTTATATTTAAAACAATGTTTTCATTTATTTCACAAAAAAGAATATTCTAAGAAAACGTATACTTTTTCCATTCAAAACGTATAATCACCACATTTTCCCCTTGGAATAATTTTGATATAGTTTAATTCTAAAAATCTTTTGTCTCTTATTTTTTGTTTTTGTTTCGTGTCTTTTATTTAATATTTTTTTCAATATGATAATTCTTTGTTCTTTTGTCTATATTAAATTGTTGAACATAAACTGTTTATATTTAATGTGATAAATAACACTCTTCAAAAACACTTGTATTTAAAACAGTGTTTTCATTTATTTCACAAAAAAGAATATAAAAAAATGTTTTCAGAAAACGTATATTTTTTCCCTTCAAACGTACCATAACCACATTTTCTCCTTGGAATAGCTTTGATATAGTTTAATTCTAAAAATCTTTTGTCTTTTATTTTTTATTTTTGTTTTGTGTCTTTTATTTTATATTTTTTTTCAGTACTGATAATTCTTTATTATTTTTTTTGTTTCTCAGCAAGTATATTATTTCAAGAATAAAGTTTACTAGTACATAAAATTATTTAGTTGATTCTCACCTTAAATAACATAAATTTTAATGTTTAAGTATAAAAATATAATATGAAATTAATGATATTATAAATATTAAATTTTTATGGAATATATTGTAATTGTTACCGAATTCAGAGAGTAGTTTTCTAAATTAGTTGACTTAACTAGGTTATGGTATTTGTTGATATAATATAATCTTGACCATTAAACTTTAAATAAGACACGTGTCGCTTATCTAGGATGCACTTGACAAAATGGAGGGAAGGGGTAATAGAGGGGAGCCAGATCCGTATATCTAGGGGTGCACTTGACGAAATGGAAAGAAGGGGTAATGGAGGGGAGCCGGTTCTATACATAATCTATTTATGCTTTCTTCATTTCTATTTATGTTTTCATTCTTAATTAGACATGAAGTTTAAATGTTATTTATTTTTAAAAAACTAAGTAATAATTTTTTTAAAAAAAGTTATAAATATTTGTCACACTATCTCATTAATAATAACCTAGGTCATTTAAAATTTATATTTTTAAATAACAAAATTGAACATTCTTTTTGGTTTCAGAGACTATTAAAAATATCCACAGAGAAATAGAAATAATGCACTACAACAAAAATAAGTTTTAGCGGCAATAAATATAGATATTAGGGATAATACCCAATTACTCCCCTAGCCTATACCCAAAATCCCTACGACACACCTTATCTTTGATTAGGTCCTATTACCCCCTCCAACTTGTTTTTTAAGTAATATATTACCCCTTGCGTGCCTACGTGGCAAAAATAATCTGCAAGATTGATTTGTTTGTTGAACACGCGCCGGGACCCACTTTTTCAGTTTTCAATAAAGTGACTTTACACTTCCCTAGTCTGGCGTTTACTCTTTTCCAAGTTCATTTTACCAAAAAAGTAGATGAAGATAGAGGGAAAGTGTTTGCATGTGTGATTTCAAAGCTAAGAAATTAGATTTCCAGTCAAAATTTGATTTTCGTTGTTGGATTTTGGGAGTTAATTTTTGGTTGCAGTGTGTGGATCGATTTCAATCTTGACAGTGTGGGACGTGGGTGGATTTCATTCAGCAAGAATCGTGACTGAGTTGAGTTCAAAGGTTAGTGTTTTCTTCATTTATTTTGTTTTTTGTTGTTATGCTTAGATTTTATAGTGGTTATGCTTAGATTTTGTAGGGGTTATGATATGTTAAATATTGATTTCGATTTTGAGTGAAATATAAATTTTAGGGTTTATGTTGTGGTTCTGTTAGATATCAAATTTCTTATTTTTAGGGTTGATGTTATTCATATATTCATACTGTCACCTTTGTTGTCATGGGTGTATGTAACTTGTTATTCATACATTTATATGAAACGTGTTTTGAGTGTGGGTTGGTTGGGTGGTATTATATTTGTGTGAGTTATGTTGTTATAATATGAAACATGCAAGAAGATAAAGACGAGTTGGGTGTTTTCCTGTGCTGTCTTATATTCTGGGTTACAATAAAGTAACTTCATGTTGGGTATTGTGTTGTGTCTGTGTGGGTGTGGGGTTAAAGTTAAATAACATTATCCTAAGAAGAAAATATATGTTGGGTGTTGTGTTGTGTCTGTGTGGGGTTACATACCTAATTGTAAGAAGATAAAGATATATCGTGTATTGTGTTATTTATGTGGGGTATTGTGTTCTGTATGTGTGGGGCTGGGTATGTGTTTTCTTCAACTTGAATTGTTTTTATAACTATTTGGGTATGTGTTTTCTTAGTCAATTATTATATTCTATTAGCAACTTTTACTTAATTATTGTTATGTTTATGCATATAGGTATGAGTGGGTTTACATTCATTACTTTAAAGTTTTATCATGGTGGGGCCTTGTTGTATGAAGGTGATAAAGCAAGATATGTGGGTGGGTTAGTGAGTGAATACTATGATATTGATGTGGATACAATATCATACTTTGAGATTAAGGACTATATTAAAGAACTAGGATATAGTCCAAATTGTAAATTTAGTGTCCGGCCACCTAATAGTTGCATTTTAGGAGATATTGACAATGATGATATTCTCTTAGCAATGTGTAATTGTTTGCAAAGTGGTTCTGTTTTGGAAGTATATGTCCACATGCCTGGTGAGGATTCTGGTGCAACTTTTAATAAATTTGGGACCACTGAGGATAGTGGA